GAGATGCTGAAGGGTAACATCGACGGTAGGATTATCCGCGTGCAAACGTTCCAAAATTACAGTATCAGCCCCCTTGCAGTAAATCCTGATTTTGCCATCGGGGCATCTGAAAATGGTAGACATTCGTTTTCTCGTTGAGTTAAATTCGCAAACCGCAAGTAATTCAAATTCCTGCTCTTGACCGTTCGCAGAGATGATAACAGACTTCGGTCGCCGGTTCGTGAATCGGTAGCCCATCATAACTGCACCCTCGACTAGTGCGCCTTCATCGGGAGACGCAGCCTGGTATTTGATAACATCTGGCTTTTCCGCCTTTCTCTCTGGAATGACGGTGTGGCACGTAGCTAGTAGACAAAGAAAGTGATGGATTGCTGTCCGGGTGGGATGCGAGTTCAAATGCTCAACGAGTTGTTTAAAGTCATACATTCCCATTTCTGAGTCATCGCCATCCACCACTCTTCTGTCCTCGGATACAACTTCGGCATACTGAAGCCCGCCGATAGAACATTGCTTAAACTCCATCATGTTGCATGTTAACGTGCCTGTTTTGTCAGAGAAGATGTATTCAATTTGGCCTAACTCTTCGACCAAAGAAGAGGTACGGCAGGTGGCAGATGTGTCGGTTTTGTCGTAGTAAATATCTAGGTCAGAATTTATGAGGAAAGCATGATAATACTTGACTATTTCTATAGTCACGAATAGAGATATAGGAACAAGGTTAGAGTAGAGGACCCAGTAGGTAAAAATATCAGAGAAGAATTGTTGAGCCGCATTAACATTCCCGATGTATAGGTAGGTGAGCTCGTCCGCAGATTTCATCCGAACAACCAAGTGTCCTACCGAACTGATCAAGCTAAGGATAAGCAAAATTCCGACAAGCATAAGAATTTGCAGGTTAACCATGCGTTCGACGGCAGTTCTCTTGATCGGCGTTGCGGTTGCGTTCCTCATCAACTTCGTTTCATGGCCAGTAAAAACGACAAGACCATGGATCCAAGGGGTATTACGCAAAGTAGCACCTCGGAGGAGGAGTTGATCAGGGTTGAGGGCCAACTCCTTTTCTCCACCTCCAGCTTGCAACGTCAATGTAGCTTCATAGGTATAAAGGCTGGAGTTGGGTTGTTCGGATTTGATTCTCCCAGTGAGCCTACCGAGTTGACTGGGACTAACAAGATCAGCCGTTTCTGGTATAGCTTGTTTTATTTTGAGGTTCGTTTCGCCGTCCAAGTTCGCAGTTTCAATGTAACAAAGGCCCTCTGGTTCGGAACTTGCAAGGAGAACCAGGTCTGCGGGGAAAGGCTGCTCTGATTCAACTTTGACGATATCTCCAACTGCTACATTTATCCATTTCGTATCCTCAAAAGTGGAGCCTTTGAGAACCTGTGCCCTCGAGTAATTAAGGGATTTATCAGAAGTCTTCCGTTTCCAATCTTCAACCAGTTCCTTTATAGCTGACACTAGGAGCACAACAGCGAGAGGGGCGATGGTGGTATATCGATTAGTCGGGGAGATATTAGGGATTTGCTGGAGGGCGGCAGTGAACAAGAAGAACAAGTTCGCATATTTAGAGAATTGCTCAAATAGGAATTTCGGCACGAAGGTAAACACATTGTATTTGGCAGTTGATATGTGATTGTCCACATATCTATTTGCCGCATTCGCCGGAGAATTGTTGAATAGGATGACTCGAGGGCCCAACGTCGACGGATCGACCTTACGCCTTCCAAACCCAAATTTGAAATCACTAGCACTAAATTTTTTCTCTTTGAGTCTTGATGAACTTCCTCCATCATCGTCTGCCCCAACGGTTTCTACCCCGGCCGATCTAGCACCCGTTTCAGTCAACGGCAAGTCCATTTCCGAGTACGGCGATTCATCCCAAGCATATTTTTTGCTCTCCCCACCAATCCGCCGCCTAGGCTCAATATGCTGTTCCGATCCCGTGCCCGAGCATCTCTCACAGGAATTGCACCGTCCATGTCATTTTGATCATTATAGTAACCTTGCGCTGATCGCGTATCATCAAAATCGTTCAAGTCATCTGAATATCGCTGGTAGTTGTGTAAATCTGAAGTCTGTGAATACGGTTGGTATGCTTCACCTGCCCCAGAAAAGAGGCCTGTCCCAGCTCCAGAGCGCGATCCTGTAGTCTGCGTTGGCTGTCGGCCTCCAACAAACGCATCGTATGACACCGATGGCCTTGGTTGGGAAGCATCAGAATCTTGAATGTCGAATTGTTGTAAGAGGCGATCGTCAGTTACTGGAGGGCGCTGGCCGCTGTTGTATACGGAGGCCGTGTCTTCGACCTGTACAAGGTTACCATCGTTTCCAGGGGGCGAGCGATAGCCCGGCCGCCCGCCACCGGCCATATCGCAGCAAGTGGCGACGAAATCACCGTCACTAAGTTGCCTTATGGTGGTAGAAGGGGCGCATTTATGGACAGTGGCCGGGAGAAGTGGAGGGAGGGTTCAAGTTGTGTTGGAAATCTTCAGGGCGACAAACGAACAAGAGCTGTCTGCTCTGCGGCTTGTGCTATAAAAGCCTAGTTTTCTTGATAACGATATATGAAAAGTTTGGCTGAAGAGCAAATCTCATGAAAACTGTTTCCATAACAGTGTCGATGTCGACAGGTTGAACCAGCCAGGGCTCCCCGTCGTTGAATGTTTTCCGTCATCCACTGAGGCTTAGTCCTGGCTAAGAAAGGAGCCGCAGCAGGCACCACGCGCGTATTACGGTTACCGTACCATCGCCAGCCAATGAGGTCCGGTGTAACCACGCATTGGTATTGTAATATGGTAAAGCCTTTACCACGGGTTGGCTTCGTTCAGCTCCGTGATAAGCCAACTGACGGAACACATTTTCCCGTCGAAGTTTTTATATCTTGGTTGTCGGCGATTCATCCATCGAATCCGACTTGTGGGGCTGTGGCTGTTCTTTTGAAATGTTGGTGGCGGATTGTTCCCCAGAGATTCCGATATTGTCTGGAACAAAAGGTTGTTTGACAGTAATTACTAGTAGTGTCATTACGAGCAGGCCAAGAGCAGTGACATAGGGCTGGAGAAGCAGGAAAGAATATCAATTCGATATATCTTCTGCTGGCCAATTTTTGTTGCAAATTTCAGCTCGGTGTCAACAGAGATTGAGATTACTGCTTGCTCTCTGTGCAGGCGGAGACATCCGCTGGTGCATCAGCTCTTCCGGCCTGAGAGCGCACTAGTTCGTAAGCGCCCAGAGATTAAAAGACGCAACGATATCCATCAAGGAAAAGGTCAATCGCCAAAATCTCTTGTGGGTGGCATGTGTCGAGCTGAGGGCTACTTCCAGTTATCATACAAAATAACACATTCGTCATCAAGGACATATAAAAGAAAAAGTGGTATCAAAGGATCATTGATCTATCTCTCATTCGCGGCGCTTGATTCTGCAGCATCTTGACGCTTTTGTTCCCGAGTCTTCAAATCTTCCTCCAACTTCGCGGATATGAACTTGCTCATGGCCTTTATCTTAGCCAGTGCCACAGTGGAGCATGAAATCATGCTATAAAGGGTCTCCTGGCGTCCCGTCTAGCTCTTGTTCACGACCAATCTCGCCAGGTCTTTATCAATAGCAATGACGAGGTTCTCTACCCGAACCGATTCCTCCCTTTGAAG